CTCGCATCCATTGCTTCTTGAACATTCACAACATATTGCAATTCCTCAATTGAAATTTCACCTTGTAGAAATGATAGATTGCCCAACTCCTTTAACCTCATTCCATTATTTTCACTTGCCGTCATCTTAGTTAACGTTCGCAAACTTCTTAGTTCAGCAATTCCTTGAGGCATCTCATGTAATTGATCAGTACCAGAAATGTCCAGATGCCGAAGATGAATAAGATTTTCCATGCTTGTGGGTAATTTGGTAAGATCCGAACAACCTCTTAGAATCAACACTTGTAAGTTGATAAGGGCACACACAGATTCTGGCAAACACTTCAGCTTGGTTCTAGCTAGGCCTAGGTATCGTAAATGTCTTAAATCACCAATAGAATCTGGCAACTCGTATATTTCATAATCATTCAAGGATAGCACTCTTAAGCAGTACGAATTCGATAATAGGTGAAGCAAAATTCTTCGGGATAAGGAATAAAAAGACGACTCAACAGTTGGAAGCAAAAAAGTTCTCAATTTTTGAACTTCGTCGAGAAAATTAAATCTAGGGTAAGTTTCATACGGACTGCAGTTGAATGACAGGTGACGGACCTTCACGGAAATCTTCCCAGGAAGACTTTCCTTCAGCTCATCATCCATCCTCAAACATTTATCACCAGCAACAGACATAGCTAGATCATTAAAGAGGTCGTGCATCACAAAGCATGAAGCATTGACACTTGATTGTTGGAAGAATGATCCATCACGCAGTTCATCAAAATATTGACTACCTACTTCTTCAATTGACGTATCTTTCTTTGATTCCTGCAAAAGCCCTTCAGCCCTCCAAAGGTACACTAGATCGGACTTTTCAACCTCATAGTCCTTGGGAAAGAGAGCACAGTAAGCAAAGCATCTTTTCAATTGTGGAGTCTACCTACTTATTCTATTGACGTAGCTTTCTTTGAATCCTTCATAATACCTTCAGCCATCCAAAGGTACACTAGATCTGACTTTTCTAACTCTTAGTCCTTGTGAAAGAGAGCACAGTAAGCAAAGCATCTTTTCAATTGTGGAGGAAGATAATGATAACTCAGTTTTAGAGCTGGAAGAATTTCACCATTTTCTTCAGCCATCCTGATCTCACTTTCCAACACCTCTTCCCATCGTTTAGGACCTTCTGTCCTGCGAAGAAGCCCCCCAAGGGCCTTTACTGCAAGGGGCAAGTACTTACATCTTCTTACAATAGATTTACCAATCTCTATTAAATCTGAATGTCCGTCAAAAGTTTTAGTTCCAAATGCATGTTGAGCTAACAATGATAAAGCATCGCTCTCTGATAACAAACTCAGGTGGTATGCTGGAAATTGAGACATGATTTTGGCCACCCCTTCTTGTCGAGTTGTAATGATGATTGTGCTTCCAGGTTTTCCAGCAAGAAAAGGACGGCGTAGGATATCCCAGTTTCCATAATTTTCATTCCAAATGTCATCTAGAACTACTAGAAATTTCTTCTTTGAAAGGGTTTCCTTTAGTTTGACCTGAAGCTTATCAAAATTTTCGTAATCACACTTTTCACCAGAAACTGCCTCGAGAATGTTTTTCGTTACTTTTACAACATCAAATTCATCTGAAACGCAAACCCATCCCTTAGGATTAAACCTGCCCTTCAATCTTTCATCATTATACACAAGTTGGGCAAGAGTTGTTTTGCCGACACCACCCATGCCCACGATTGGAATCACAGATAATATTGGGCTATTATTTGATCCACCACCCAATAAGATATCGAGTATTTTCTCTCTGTCCTCCTCTCTTCCATAAACTTCCGATTCTACCACAAGCGAACTTGTTGGCGATCTTTCATAAGACCTCCCCCTCACATTCTCCACCAAATTGAGCATATTTTTCTGTTCTTTCAGATCTTCCAACCGGCCACTAATCTCTTTTAGCTTGGAAGCAATCCCGCGATCAGACAAGAAATCGTCGTAACAAAATTTCATCCTTTTTATGATACTGGTGCTGCCTTTACTTTCCCTTAATTTGCGCTGCGAAGCTTCAGTATTCAACTCATCCACTAAGTCTTCAAGATCATAAGCCAAATCTTCCAGATCGTTCAGCCACAGTTTCACAGCATTGTTTGCTGTTTGCTTGTTTTCAGCATCAGTAAGCACGGCCTGGATCATCAACAAAGTTGTACGCCATCCTTTCAGCTGGGCATCGATTCCTACACGACGCAGAAATTTCAGCAGCTCACCAGAGGCCAGCTTCTCAACCAAACCATCGACAATTGCACCAACAAAAGCTTCGACGATAGCCATTCTTATCTTTTTTGTAAAACAGGAAACAAGAGATCAGAGAGATTGACTTGTATATGTGAAAGTCGTCTACTGGTGGTTGGGTTCAATTATACATCATGGTGGGGTCAATTAACGCGGAGAAATTTCATTGGTTGTTGGCTAAAATTTTTTTCTATTCAATTCGGTGAAGGCAACGGTGAAACTGATCCTCGCAACAGATAACAATGGATTGTGTGGCCAGGTATTTTCCAATTAAACTTAGCATTTTGGAAAATTTTCCAGAGGTCACACATTTATTCAAAATCGTGCCACGAGAATGGGCTAGGATGATAAATGGATTAGTAGATATTTCTTGATAATTTCATGAGTGAGCCTAAAATTCGGACCCAACATAAATGGTAGAAATCATGTTAAAAAATGCAACTTTAATTGTATAGGTTAAGGATTAGTTTCTAGTTATTCTGAACCATTGATTTTAAGCAAAGATTAATTGTGATGACTAAGAGTATAAATAAAGGTTTATACTGTTTCCCTAATTTATTTCAAATGTCTGATTTTTTTTTTTTTTTTTTGAAGAGGTTATGATTTTTTTCTTCGTCTTCTCTCATCTTCAACTTATGGTAAAACAATTTTGGATATTTTAAGTGAATCTTTTAAGTCTTTGCGATTCTGTGTAAGAGTTGTTTGAATTATGGGTTGATGTCTTCTGATTTACATAAGTAACTTCAATAGGTTCATTTTGAAGGTTTCGGTTTGTGGATTTATTGTGATACAGAGAGGTGCAATATAATTTGAGCTTGTTTTGTGAAATTTTGATATCTTTGGAGTTTCGGTTCAAGTTGCAAATTCTAGGGTCGAGGGTTCATAAATACTTCATCTTCGAAGTCTGATTTTTTGTATAATTGTGATATTAGAGTCTGTGTAAATTGTTCTTTGACCTTCGGGGGTCAAACGGTTGTTTCCATGGCTTTTATTCGATTTTTTTAGATGTTAAATTTCAACTATACAACATGGTGGGGTCAACTAACATGGAGAAATGTCAAAAGTGAAATTGATAGTGGTGATTCGGTTCAATTGTACAACATAGCGGGGTCAATTAACACAGAGAAATGTCTTTTTTGGAATAATCTTGTTGATAAGATTTTTGGAATAATTTTTTAGAAACATTTATTCAAAATTGTGCAACTAGAGTCTCACATTTTGGAATAATCTTTTTTGGTCTTGTCTTGTCTCGATTCTTGTAACTTTCTTTGTTATTCAATAATTTATGTTCACTCAAAGAATCATATAGTTTTTTATGTTAAAAATGAAATAAAAATAGTTGGTGCTAATTGTGAAAACGATGTATTGTCAAACATGAAACTATACTTTCTTCCGAAATCAACATGGCACTATAAAAACCTTAAGAGACAAATGAAGATTTATTGAGGTGATCTTTTAAACTTTTATCAAATGCTTAATGGATTGAAGTAATTTTTCGAAGGTCTAAATTTTCAATTTTTTTTTTTTTAATTAAAAGAAGGTATTCACACACTAGTATAATCTTGACTTTAATGAATACCGTAGAAGACTTAAAGTCGGAAGCAACAAATTCTTGAAATCAAAATTGAAATTTCATGATTCAAAGACTGAAATTTCGTGATTCGATTGAAGAATTCATTATCGAATTTGGGTAAATTTTATTTATTTTTTTTTTAATTTCTTGATTAAACATACTTGTAAACCTCTATTAACAATCTTGGTTTCTTGAATTAATTTTTTTTCGAGTAACTCTTGTTCCGTATACCAACAGTAGATTCTAAAATAAATATATTTTTTATTGATCAAGGACTTAAATAATTAGACATGAATGAGTGTTTCAATAAAACTTATATTTGTTTCATTGTTGATGACAATCACAAAATTAAAATATGCAAATAGGATGGAAATCAAAAGGCAAAAAATATTTCAATTAAGCAAGAAAACATGAAGGAAATTCCTCAAATTAAAAGATAGATTAGTATAAATTACGAAATTGTAGAAAAATTAAAAGTCATATTAAAATTTAAACACACTAATTTTAGGTTGCTATAGTTATTGACATATTTTATTGTCAAACGTAATTTTTCGAAATCTTGAATTGAAATCTTAAATTGAATTGAAGTTATGTTCCATTCTCGAGATGGACTCTTGTATCTTTGGATTATTACAATGATACACAATGTCCAAAGCAAGATTTCCTAAATAATGTTATCTGAACGTCCGATAGTTTGCCACACCTAGTAATGATAACCGTAGGTGGTGATGTGGTAATTGTGTAGGGATGGTATATGGATAGATGCACATTTGGCCATACCAGTCCAGCTGGTTCAATTGGAAAAATCGGGAATTTGGACCAAAATTGGTTCGATTAAACTTAAAAAACCTCTAATTAAAAATCCGTGACCCGCTTTCGATTTAACCGGTTCAACTATATAAATGTATATTTTTAAAAAATTTTAAATGTATTTTTTATTTTTGTAAATTTATATCTTTTTAATTTTTAAAAAACCACAAGTTCGATCCCGGTTTGACCCCGATTCAACCTTTTGACCCTTTCTCTTTTTTCGAATCGATGGCCAGATTGATTTTTAAAAATTGGGAATGACACATCTTTTAGAACCAATATCATCATTAGATAGCACGACTTTCAAATAGATTGGATCATTCAATTTGTGTAAATTCATGGAGGCTCATCTATTCCATATGTAACTAAGCATCTGTACGTGACTTAATTACTATCCAACTAATTTAGAACTAGAAAATTAAATGTGCACCTAGCTGCCAAGGCTCGAGATCACGCCACTTGGATTTGGGTAGAGGTTCATGGTCCGCGACCACCTATATAAAAAAGATAAATTTATTTATCTATTTTAAAAATTAGTTTTGAAAACAAAAAATAAAAAACTTGTTAATTTATTTTTGCTCGACTTAATTATGGCCTAACTGGTCTCATATTTTTAAAGATTGGTTCGGCTAGTCGAAAATGCTACCCATTGGTGTCTCCACATGCCAAGAAGAAATACTCTTTTGTCGTGGTTAAAAGATATTTATTTATAAAAATAATTTTTTAAGTAGCAAAAGTTACTTAAAAAATTATATTTTTCAGAAAAGTATATGTGATAAAATAAGTAATTTTAAAGTAAATTTGTGACACATTGTAGTCCGTGTATCATGTTGGGCATGGGGAAGTCTGTAGGAAAACTCTCACGTGGCACACTTAATTGAGTTCACATGGGTGGACCATATAGTTCGTATAATGTCTAGTCACAGCACGAGCCGAGCCGCGAGCCCACGATCATTTTGATTTTTTATTTTTTTTTTTTACTTTTTCACGTTTTAAAAAAAAAAATTCTTTAATTTTTCATGAGCCCACGAGCCGCTCGTAAGCTCGATGCTCGGCTCATCGAGCTCACTTGCGGCTCGGGCTCGTCATTTGACGAGTCGACGAGCCACTTGGCCCGTTTACCATCTCTAATCTCACGAAATATGTATAAAATTAATTATTGACTTTAACTTAAATTAAAATTTGATTTTACTCCCAAGGCATTAGGCAAAACGTGTATTGGTAATTGCAACCATATCCTCAATCTTCAACTCCTTATGCACTTATGTCCTCAAACTTCATTTCTTGACATTGTCTTCAACCTTTCATTTTTATTTTTGGAACTCAGTCTTCACTAATAAAACCATTCAAAAGGGCAATCAAATCCACTTAAAAAGAAGAAAATAAAAGTTCAAGAAAATAAAAGCAAAGCATAAAAAGGACAATAATTGTATCCATTAAATTTTAATTCATTTTTCTCTCTCCTTTTATCAATCCTAGATTCTATCAATAAAATAATATTACACATAAACTCAAAAATTCTCCTTACTTTTTAATTACACATTCTTTAAAAAATACTATTCCAAAATCATTTTTTTTTTCAAATAATGGAACTCAAACAAGGGCATATTCATAATCTTCCCAGGCCATAGTCCTAGTGGCAAAGGGTAGTGGGGCTGTGGGGTAGTGGTCCAGGTTGTTAATGGATTTTACGATATTTTTATTAGTGCAAATTACCCAATTCCCTACTTTTGGATATCTAAATTCAAAAA